AGTTTTTGTTAAGTGGGGGGGGGGGGGGGGGGGGTGCTTCTTTTCTATACCCACTGTACTAATGCACTATTCGATGGCATTTTGTAGTATAAATAGTGTGTTTATGCTGAAAATTCCAAAAAGAAAAAGTGCCTTGATGATGAAAATAACTTGATGATGCACTTAATTAACAAAAAAACGAAGTGTGAAATGTTGGGCACTTTATACACTCAACTGTCACAGCTTTCCTTATGTAGCAAAAGGAATAGCATAGTACGCCATTTGGGACACCACAATTGTGTTTTTGGATTGTCTTCTCTGAAAAATAGAAATGCAATGCTGCCAGTTTTTGGCCAAAAGGTGTCTTAAATGGTAGCTTAAAAAGTAGTAGACTACTTTTTAGAATAGTGTTTGTGTCAAGAGTGTGCCTATGTTCCCTTAAAATGCTGCCTATTCGGCAGGGTTTGAAAGAGAGCCATGCACACACTTACAGACATACTTTTCTCAGAATTGCTGTACTGGTTCTAGAACAAAAGGCATACAGGAAGTAAAGAGGTATAAAGCAGTAGGGTACAAGAGCAGGGACATCCTGTAAAACTGTGCCATAGTGTCCACTTTTGCCCTTTCACTCACTTCCTGCCGTTCTCTAAACAAAACAAAGGCAAAACTAAATAATAATAAGAAAAATGCTTTAGAGCTGCTTGAGAACATCTGGTTAGTTTAAAAAAAATCAACTACTTTCAACTTCATCCAATCAGAACATTTTGATCGTGATACAGTCCCCCTTCCTTAAGAGCCTTAAAAGCACACAATGAATGCTGGATCAGCTCTGTTACCCTACAAACTGGACAAACAGCTTGTACTGGTTTACAAGCCAAAAGTTAAATAGATAATTCTGACTCTAATTCATAAAAGGACAAAAGTTATGAACAGTTTTTAAATTATTAATCTATCTAATTAATAACTAAACTAACTAAACGGCTGTTATGGCTAGTCTTAAATTGAAACTCAACACACTTATTTTAAAAACAAGGTGAAATCTCACCTTATATCTTCTCTTGACATCTCTCTTTTTCCTAGGGTCTCTGTTGTTTGTCTGTCTACATACAGCATGCAGTATTTGTAGCTCCAGCGTGAAATTTGCAGAAAGCCCATGCTCAAGGCTTCTTGACGCCTTGAAAAACATCATTCCATTCATCTTCACACATCCTTCTCTCTTTCACTCTCATCCCTCTCTATCCTCCACACATTTTCCCACAACCTTTCTGTCCACTCTCCCAGGATAAGACCCCTCAGCCTTCTTCAGTCACACATTAATCCATCTCTCTCTTTCTTTCAGTCCCAAAACTCTGTTTCTCTAGCCCTGGCTTAAAATGTTTTTTTTTTTCGCTTGAGCGTGATTTGACCTTATGGTCAAACATAAGAGGCTGTGATGAAGTTCCCATTTCTGGCAACTTTGAGTGCATGCGCTATCAGAGAAAAATGTCTAAAATATACAAGTGTTAGCAAGTGAATCACAAGCAGATGTGGAAATTGTGATTGTGTAAGTTGTTGTTGCATCTGTGAGGTAAACAACATAAAACAATGTTTTCAAAACATTCAGGTCCAAGCCACATCCTCCCTTAAATGTGATTATTGCATTTTTTAAATTATTGACTCTATTTTTTATTATACAAACTAGTATAGAATTTTAATTTCGGCCATAACATGAAAATACTTACTGTCCTAATGGTATCTGCCAAGTTTTAATATTTGCATTACCAGGACAGGTGACTGGGAATTGACAACGCTTGCTAAGCTTGGCCTTAAATTCTAAATGGAGGCCTTATAGCAATATCAATAGTAATCTCAATATGCATGTCAAAATCCCTAAAATCCCTAAATACTAGGACAATGTTTCTCCTTCTGGTACTCACACAAGCAGATGGCAGCGAGCAGACGCAGACCATTCTCTGGGGGGAAGCAGGTGGGGAACAGAGGCTGCAGGACATAGTTGGAGAAGGTGAGAGCAATAACCGCCTGGTTAGTGGGGTAGATCACCAACACAGCAATCCACAACCGCAAAAACCTGTAGCATAAAAACACACACCGATGTTATAATACGTCCCTCAAAAAAATGACTCAACTATGTTTCATCTCCAAAAACGCATAATAGTAATAACATTATTATTTTTATCCAGTGATAGGCAATTAGGCATTGTGTTGTTTGCATATAGCAATGTCTTTATTCTTAGGATAGACTCTCTTTATTGCCATCATTTGTTGGTGCTGAGTGAAATCAAGTCACGACTGAGTGACCAGCTAATGGCTGTCCACTGGCAGTATCATTCAATAGAGCACTCACCGTGCTAAGCAAAGGTTGTTGGCATGTGAGCAAAGCCAGGGCTGTAAGGTTTGATTAACCGCTTATACCTATTATTGGATTAAGAAATTTCAAACCACAGATACAACTACTTCACCAGACAGCAGCAATGCTGATGCTATTAACAAGTTAATTACCATATAATGATGGATAATGGCAATTACTCATTAAAAGAAGATTACAGGCATTTGAGGGAAAAGTATAGGATTCCTGCAGAGGCAGAGTCAGCTATTCATTCTGGAATTTTTCTGCTATCCACTATATCTGATTTTTTTCACTCTGTTGCTTGCAGCTTCAATACTTAAATTTTTGGAGTATTTATTGTACATTACTGACAATAACAAAAATCCACATCTCAAAATATTTTGTCCTTGATGGCTAAAAAAATTAAAAAAAAAAAAAAAAAAAAAAAAAAAAAAGGAAACACTAGCAAAAACTCAAAAAAAAAAAAAAAAAAGCCACTGCACAAAACAAATCCCAGCCGGGTCCGTCACTTTTTTGGGTCCC